GAGGGGAACATGACGAAGTCCTGTGTTAGAGGGATGAGGGAGCCACTGGAGTTTCCAGGTATCACAGAGTCTCCAAGTTGGAAGGAGCTTCAGAAGTCATTTAGTCCAACCTCAGTGTGAAAACATTCCATCTACACAACATGTATCTAACAAGCCTTTGTCTGAAGACCTTTGGAGAGGGGGAACCTCCTGAGATAGCTCGTTCTTTTTAATAGCTCTGTTACCTATTGATTTGGTTCGGAGGATCTCATAAAATTCTTCATAGAATTTACTTCTTCATCCTTTGTAACATGTCACTTAAAATGTGGTTGTGTTTGTTGATGGTGTCTTTGCTTTACTTCTCACATATGCTGCAAGATAAAATGACAAAGTATCTCTAAAATGACACTGGTTGAACTCCGACTCATTCTTGAAAGCCGATTCAAATTCTACATCCTCTAGGAAATTTTCAGTGATCCACCCATTAAGTTGATAGTGACCTTTCTTTCTCCTCTTTTGTACCTACCTACACACTACTCCTACAACCACTTGTTTTAATTTAGGGGGCTGATATTTAATTGGAGACTCCCCATACAGAAAAGGGTATAATCTTCTTTAGCCTCAATCACCCAGGAAAGGGGAAAGGGAAAACTCACTGCTTCTAAGGCAGAAAGGCTTGTCTGGTAGACGGCCTCTCTTTCCTGTTGGAGTTCTCATAGCCTCAAGTGCAGCACATTCATTGTTTGTTTCAATTGTTTTTCAGTTGCATCTGACTCTGTGACCCCATTTGGGGTTTTCTTGGCAAAGATGCTGGAGTGGTTTGCCATTTCCTTCTCCAACACATTTTATAGATGAGGAAACTGAGGCCAACATGGTTAAGTGACTAGCCCAGGGTCACACAACTAGTAAGTATCTGAAGCCAGATTTGAACTCAAGATGAGTCTTCCTGTCTTCAGGGTCAACATTCTAACCACTGTACCACCTAGTGGCCCCAAGTCCAGCACATTGCCTTGCTATTCCTTGTGACTTCTAAGTTCTACCCATTAGAGATCTCCCAGGACCTTGAGTTCCCTTCCTGGTACAGATACTTTTGCTGCATCTGATTAGGGCCCCAACATACATAGAGGTACAGTGAAAGATATGTTTTCATATTACTTTTTTGTAAAAGCACATTTTTAATGTCAGAAAATTTTTACTACTTTGGCACATAGCTATTTATAAAGTGAAGCTTCCAGCTTCCTGGAGATGGTAACACATGGTAGGGATTTAGCAAGGATTGATTTTTAAACTTGCCTGGAGCAAACAAATGCCATATCTTAACTGAATCAAATCAGCCCTAGGGGACCTTAGAGGTCTAATTATATACCACCCATCCCACCTTGTGTAGTATTCTTTTCTACCATGTTCATGGCTAACAGATCATCATACTGTCATACTGTGATTCTAGTGCTTCTAGTGACAGAGAATGCACTCCTTCAGGAGGCAGCCCATTGTATTATCGGACAGTTCTCATTATTATATATAGTTCTTCCTTGTATTAAGCTGAAATTTTCTTCTCTCTAACCTCTATCCCATATTGGTCCTACCTTACTTTGCTTTCTCCAGACATTCTCTCTCTCTCCTTTGTGTCCAGTGTAGTTTCTCTTACCCTATGCATTGTTCTTTGGATTGAATACACCCCCCATACTGTTTTAGGGGTACACAGATTGTACTGATGCCATAATTGGTAGTATTTAGGCTTTCCTAATATGCTTCTTTCTTCTTTATTTCTAATTAATTTTCTCCTAACACTTCCCTGTCTATTCCTCTGAGTCCCGTTGTTTCCTAGGAACCTTGTTAAAGATGTTCTGGCAATGATACTTCTCAATTATTCATCCTACCTGCTTATTAGTCTTTCCTTTAGTCATGTGATTCAGTAGGCAAAAGAACATTCCTCTTTCCCTCTCCCAACCTCATTAGACCTGTGTTAGCTCCCAAACAGCATTTAAACATAGACACAGATCACTGCAACAAACCCTACCTACCAGTCTACCTCACCACCAACTCAGAATCACATAGTAAACATTCATTTGTGAAAGTGATTTTTCTAGGGATTTTTTTTTGTGGTCATCATTGCTATTGTAGGTATTTCAGTACCACTTTAATGTTATGCTATATAAGACTATGAAAATAGTTATGAACCTGATCTGTTCATGGTGGGTTTAGTTTTGAGAATTTTATAAGATTTCTATTCAGACATAGGTTGTGTAAATATCCATCGATACACACACACACACACACACACACACACACACACACACACACCCCAACAGGTACCTGTTGTCAAGTTACCTGTGTTAGATCCTGGGAATACAATGACAAAATGATTCCTGTCTCGGAAGAGCTTACCGTTGAGTGAGGGGAGGCAACATATGAAATATTGAGGGGGAAACACTAACAGCTGGGAGGATGAACAAAGGCTTCATGGAGGAGGTGACATTTAAGCTGCTAAGGAAGCTTGATATTCTTAAGAGGTAGAGGTGAGAAGGGAGTGCATTCCAGGCATGGAGGATGACCAGGGCAAAGTCACAAAGATGGGAGGTGGAGGGTCATGTATTTTTTTTTTTTACCATCTAATGGTAAAAAGGCCAGTTTGATTGGACTCTAATGTGCTAGTATTTAGTTTGTTATTCTAAAACCTTCCCTGAAAGTCCTCCTGTGGGGGCAGCAAGGTGGTGCAGTGGATAGAGCACCAGCCTTGGAATCAAGAGGAACTGAGTTCAAAGTCAGCCTCAGACACTTAACTAGCTGTATGACCCTGGGGAAGTCACTTAACCCTGTTTGCCTAAGGGGGGAAAAAAGTCTTCCTGTGGTAACTTCTCCTGTTGTTGAAGTAAACCTGAACTCTTAATGCTGTGTAAAAGAATGCAGATTTTGCAAGCTTGTGAGTATAGGCCTAGTGACTTATGGGTATTTTTTGTCTATGGATCGGCATAGCCAAGTCACCAGGTTGGCCGTGGGATAAAGAATTCTTCTCACATAGCCACTCTTACAGACTAAGTCAAGAAGGGCTATGACCTATTTTGGTAGAGGAAGTATCCACATGAACAAGATCACAATTCTGTTATGTATTATTATATAGTATTATTATAAATAAAATATGTGGAAACATAAATAATATCTAAACACATAAAACCTAAATATATCTATATGCAATATTGTATCATAGTATACAAACATTCAAAACAGAAACCTACCTCACTGAAATGTAAGTGATATAAAAGCAGAATCAAAAGAACAAAATATAGTTCAGTTCCAGCAGAGTTCTTCTGTTGTGTGTCTGTTCACACAAGTTAGTGATGACACCCTCAGTACTATGATAGCCTTCATCACTATCTTCTCAAGGGCTACAGGAACAGTAACTGTCCCCCAAAATGTAGATACCACTTTGCATATGTGTTGACATATACTGTGAAATTTATTTTCTAGAAGTTTTATAATTAAAATTGTTACTATGACTTTAGTATTTAAAGGATTTGTGGTTTGTTTGGTGTAGATAAAACTCCCTTCACTCCACATTGCAGACTGCAAGCCTTCTATGTTGTAGGAGCTCTGTGTGAGTTGCTTTGGCTGAAATAGTAATTACCAAGGTATAGCCATCTTGGTGATGAACTTCTTTAAAGTTAGCTGGGCTGGACTTCAGAAGATCACCACGCCCATATTTCAAGGTGTTTCAACATGGAAAGAAATGCCACAGCTTAGGTAGGTTGCCATATTGCCTTCAAGAACTCAGGTTTAATTCTGTGTCCTAATGAGACATCAGAGTAGAACTAGAATGGTGTTATTTTGATACTTAATATTTATTGAATTATTTCTTTTTTATTTCTTTTCACCAAATCATTCTTAATGATTAATTTTTGTAGCATTAAGGATAACATTTGAAAAATTTCAGCGTCTTTATTTGGGAAGAACTCTGTTGGAACTGAACTATATTTTGTTCTTTTGATGCTGCTTTTATATCACTTATGTTTAAGTGAGATAGGTTTCTGTTTTGAATCAAACCAAATTATTCTTCAAAATCAAGAAAAGGTTTATAAATGTTTATTATATCTTGTCTTTTTTGGAGAGCTAAATGTATAGGCTTAAATCAATCTGCCAGCAGAGGGCAGCCTCTCCCCACCCAGTCCTGGCCCTTTTGTATCTATCACTTGGAGAGAGGAAGCAGTCCTTTAGCTGGTCTAAGTTGTTTCAGGTACATATCTTTGGTAATGAGAAATTCAAGCAAATTCAGTGTTCAGTATGGGTAAGAGGTTGTTCTCTATTTCTGGCAGTTTAGTGTTCTGGCAAAGCCACTTAGAAAATAGAATCTTTTAAAGTCTTTTTTCCTCAACCTTACATTTTCAGTTGATGTTCTATTACATCGTTTTGTATAGTTATGGGCTGGGGGTGAGTATCGTGTGTGTGTGTGTATGTGTGGGGAGAGAGAGAGAGAGAGAGAGAGAGAGAGATAGAGACAGAGAGAAAGAGAGAGAGAGGAGATCTTTACAGTGTGTATGCCATACAAATGGCCATTATTGGGTGTATTGGTTGTGCAAAGAGACAGAGAGAGAGAGAAAGAGAGAGATAGAGAAGAGAGAGATAGAGATAGAGAGAGACAGAGAGAAAGAGAGAAAGAGGAGATCTTTACAGTGTGTATGCCATACAAATGGCCATTATTGGGTGTATTGGCTGTGCAAAGTGTAATTTAAGGCACTGAGGCACTGTTGGCCTCAATGAAGTAGAGACATTTGGAGGAGAGATGGTGCAGGATTGAAGATGGTGAATTCACTTTTGAATGTGTTGAATTTTGTATCCTGATGGAACAACTAAACTTGAAAGAACATCTAAAAATCTAATTTTGGAAAATTAAGGAAAAAAAAATGAACTTGTTACTGTTAACGTGTCTTTTTCTGTAGGTCCTGATTTTATGAAAGATGCCATTTAAGCACTTTAACTACATTTGATTCTAATTTACTTTTTTGAAATATTTATTTTGGTTACAGGTTGATCATTTTGGATTTGATGTTAATTTGACATTTAAACAACGGTACTTAATAACAGATCAATACTGGAAGAATAATAATGGTGCAATACTTTTCTACACTGGAAATGAAGGGGACATTACATGGTTTTGCAAAAATACGGTATGCATAAGCTTATGAAACTTAACATGTTTATAAAATTTGCCTTTCTAAGAGGACTGGACAAAAGCAGGAATGTGCAGATTCCATTTTAATTTGAGATGTTCTGTTTTATATGCTTAGTGGTAACAACAAGCTAGAAGCTTACTTTTGTAGGATGTGGTTTTAGAACTAGAAGGGTACTTAGAGATCACCTAGTCCAAACCTCTCACTTTATATGTATTGGGGGGTTGCACTCCAGGAAGCATGTGTGGGGATGGGCGAATCGGGGCCATCCCATAGAGCATGGGCCAGACCTTCCATGGTAGTTTCTATGATAAGCATGACAGTGCTAAATTAGTTTGGTGCTTTGAAATGAGGAAGCAATACCCTTACTGGCCACTGCTGACTCAGTGGTCCTTGAAAAGGAGTGACTCTGACCTTCACCTTCACCACTATTCCTGTACATACCCCCACTGTCCCCCAGCAAGTCAGGCTCCTTTTACTCTTTCCCTGAGCAAATAGGAGCTAATGTGTATTTCTTCTGGTAAGCCAGCGCAGTGCTTGGAGTTCCTCCTCCTGTCTGCAGTCATCTCCAAGATAGGAATAATTGTAGATGTTGGAGAAACTCTACAATTATTAAATGACATCTATAAGATCATAAAATTTTGAGCTAGAAGGTACTGACCAGTCTACAACTATACCAGTCTATTCTGTCTGAGGGACCTGAAACTTCTAGATCACTCACAAAGATGCCTGTAAGACTAGAAATGTCCACCTCAGGGGCACTCTTCAGTCATCCATACTCAGAAAAGAAGCAAAGCAGAAGAGGCAGCTACAAACCCAGACCCAGGCTGGCATGGGCAGGACAGGAGCTTTCAGCTGCCAGCTGCTCACACCCCTGATACTGCCGGAGTTGGGGAAGGGCCCAATTTCTATTCTCCCATAGTAGCATTTAGAAAAACTAGAATTTTGTGTTTTCTATAGGAAGACATGTGAATCTAATTATATTGTAATTGTACTGAAGCCAGAAATTTGAATTTTATTTTTTGTTTTTATTATAATTATGAGAAATTAACGAATTATATTAAAATTAATCAGAAGATCTCAGAAAAAAAAAACCTACTTGATGAGTACCTTTTCATTTACTTGTCAGCTCTATGGTCTTGAGTAAATCATCCAACCACTTTGAGCCCAAGTTTATTCATCTTTGGGCATAATTCCTATTCTCCTTACCTCATAGTGTAATTGTGCAGTTCAAGTGAAATAAGCTATACAAACTTTTGTAAACTATGATATTTTGTTCAAAAGTGAGGGGTTATGCTTGTTTAAAAGCTATTCAACTGTATTAAATCACTTGATAAAGAAATTAAGCTTGTCTTTCCTCTACTAGAAATTCTCTTTGGCTCCTTTATGCACCTTCTCAGACCTGATTGTTCTTCTCTGGGAGCCCACTTATATGATTTTTCTACTTCCATGAAGCATCTCGACCTAGTGGCAAGAGCGCTGGACTTGGAGTCAGAGGATCTGGGGTTAAAACTCACCTTTACACCTTCCTATCTGTGTAATCTTGGATAAGTCACTTGTTTTCTCTGGGCCTCAGTTTCCTTATTTAGTCGGATTAGATGAAGACTAAGATCCCCTGTGGTGCTAAATCCTATAATCCCATATATATCATTTAATATTTGAATTACTAAAATGTAAGTATGTGTGTGTGTGTATATATATATATATATATATACATATGTGTATACGTACATACAGATACACACATATATCTTCTTGTTCAGTCATTTCAGTTGTGCATGACTCTTTGTGACCCCATTTGGGGTTTTCTTGGCAAAGGTAGTGGAGTAATTTGCCATTTCCTTCTCCAGCTTATTTTATAGATGAGGAAACTGAGGCAAACAGGGTTGAGTGACTTGCCCAGGGTCACCCAGCTAGTAAATATCTGAAGCCAGATGTGAACTCAGAAAGATGAGTCTTCCTTGACTCCAGGCCTGGCACTCTATCCACTGCACTACCTAGCTGCCCCATGTGTGTATGTATGTATGTATATATATCTATATCTATATCTATATACACACATATAAATTAGTCTTTTGACATTGAGAACAGGTCATTATATTTTAGTTTATGGCTGGGTAAATTTTGTTTTCAGGTTTATTGACTGTACTTGACAGTACATCCAGTCCTGGGTTGAAAGCATCCATCTGACAAATGACTGTACATTGTAAGGGGGTGCTGTCTTGCTACACACCACCCCAACAGTACTGAAACCCTCTGCTACTGCCAGGGGAGCAGTTGTGAATTATGACACTACCTTCCATTTGTAAAATGTTTTATAGTTTTCCAAGTACTTCCACAAACATTTGTTCTCTATTAGGTGAGAAGGATATACATTATTTCCGTGTGGAAAAAAAAAACAACTTTAATCTTTTAGAGAATTTTGTTGTTTAGAGAATATCAAAAAGAAGAATGAGCTATAAAAAGCAGGGACAGTATACACTCTCAGACTCGACTGATTTGTTTATTTTGTGGTGTCCTGTCTCCAAATCTCTTCCAACACAGTGCTGGCATCCTCTACCCCTCCAACACATGGCTCCTGAAATTTTACCAATTAATGATTCATTTAGGTTTACAACCATCATGTTAAAGAAATACTTTTCTGAAGTGTAAGGGTCTACCAGTACTAATGTGAATCAGTTCAGACTTTGGATCAAGTTTTTAGTGTCTCAATTACCTCTTTTTTGAAAGGAGAAACTTATTCTATTTCCCAAACCCAACTATCTGTTTTATTCTGAGGAAGTTATGAGATCAGGCAAATACATACTTTAAGGATCCGTGATTTATTCAAGGTATGGGTATGCCTTTTACCAACATAGACTGCAATTCCTCCCTACTTTAGAAGGTGATTCTTGTGAATTTATGTGATTCTTGCCCCCAAATAAAATTATCACTCAATGGCTAAACTTCTGGTGATGAGCTTCATGGAATTTTAGTCAGTTTGGTTGTCTGGTCCAAAAGATGACAGTCTTTTGCCAACCCCATATTTAATGCCTTTCCCATTTGGTAGAATTTGCCAGAGCTTGCATTCTGCTATAATACAATTCTAGAAGCCAGGGTCATCTCTGTGCCATGATGAGGCAATGGAGAAGGCAGCCATGAAAGGGAATACAATTTATTTATTTATTCTCTGCATGGGGCCTGAATGGGGAAATTGGATCCTTTCCCAGCTCCTTAGTCAAATCTCCTCAGTCTAAGGCATCGTGATTGTTTTAGACCAAAATCCCAGAATGCTGTACACACATATTCAAATGTTAAGTACAAAACACATTGTAAAAGCTAATTACATTATGTTTTTTGAACTTTCTAAGCCTTATAATTAGTATGAATAATTGGGAATTGACTGTATATCTAATTCAGTCAGGGGCATATTGAAATACTGGTATTCCTATGTAGGACCAACTATTTTCACATGGCCAGTCACTCCTAACCTTCTTGACCCTGTTTCTGTATTTGGAATGAAGGAAACATTGGTCTCTGGTTTTGTTATGTACGGTGAATATGAATGTTTGAACTTGTTTATAAAGGTTTCCTTTCAAGAGGGAATGGGAAAAGGCAGGAAATAGCTGATTACATCTTTAGAAAGATGTCTTGTTGTATAGTTTTTATTAATTTGTTTGGAAAAAAAAATGAACTTAACCCTCATCCTGAACTATTGATGTAGGTTTATTTTCACTTTCCTCCTTTTCTCTAATCAGAGACAAGCTTTAGTATATGAGAGTATTGTACAACCTCTTACACCAAAATGCATTTATATGCTTATATACACACTTCTATTCTTGTGTGTGCATATTTATAACTATATGTACAGATCCTGTCTCTACTATTTACTCTCTCTTTGACATTGGAAAAGTCATTTCGCCTCTTTGGCCCTCACTTTCTTCCCAAAAATGGTCAACTAGATGATTTCTGAGTTCACTTTCAGTTCTTAATTCCCATGTATATACATACATGGGTAAATATACAGCATACATATACACACACTTAATAGGGTAAATGGATAATAGGGTGAGAATGTGGCTCAATGGGTTGGGGAGAAAGTGTGTGGGTATTGAACTAAGCTAAGGAAGAAGAACAGTTTGGTAGGTGAATGCTTGTAATTAGGTAGATGGCAAAGAGGGTAAGGGATTACTGAAGTAATAACAGAATATATTTGTAGATACTGGGTTAAACTCAACCAAATAGGTTGAACTACTCTAATAGTTTTTTTCAGTAAAAAAAGGTGGGGGTCTTAGACTTCATTAAGGCACATTAGTATATTAAAGAATAAATTATATTTGTCTTTTCTCTTTTATTTTGGAGTTCCCAAAATGAATGTTTTAAAATTTTCCAATTTAATAGGCCTACATTCATGGCTGAGGACTTACAATCCTTCATGCTCATTTATTAAGATTTCTATAATGGTTCAAATATAGCTTAATATCTGTACTCCCTCCACTTTTGGTTTATAAGTATCTATGAGAGTGGAAACTATCTTCAGCATTCTCAATGATTCCCTGAAACATCTAGTAATATTTTTTGACTGGATCTTTTACTTACACAGATCATTCTGTTGTGGGTCAAAATCAGAGGTTGAGATAATTGGCAAATTGTAGTAATTTTAAATAATCACATTATAATATGAATTTAGTGATCAAAAATGAGGCCCAGAACTTTCATTCATCTGTAGAACAGGCATAAACCAAGCAACTTCTCGGAGTGCTTAAGGAATTACATTTTCAAAATAGATCTTCTTAGATCTCTTGTATATGCATTTAGCTTTTTTTGGGAAACCAATTGTTATCTTGTGTATTTATAAACTGTTTGTAGGGCTTCATGTGGGATGTGGCTGAGGAGCTGAAAGCCATGTTGGTGTTTGCTGAACATCGCTACTATGGAGAATCCTTACCCTTTGGTAACCTGTCATTCAGTGTAAGTGTGTGTTTGTTAACTTGGAGAAACTGTTTAATGAAGCTCAGGAGACTTGGTTTCTTGTCCCAGTTTTGCCAGTAACTAGTGGTTCGGGGGGGGGGGGGGCTTTTTTCCTACTGCTCAGAGGCTTCAGTTGGCTGTAACCCAAATGATGCATTCCTGACCCTCAGCAGCAGGGCCACTCTGTGTTCAGACCTGCCCATCACTGGTCCAGGCTAGCTTCATTCAGTTTGCAAAAGGAGCTTTATACCCTGAAGATTAGCTAATTAAGACATCTCTATATTATAACAGCAAAAAATCATTATTTACTGATCTAAAATAGCATCCACACTATTATTTGTTGACCTACAAAACCATTTGATTGATAGGAAGTTGATGGGCCTTAAAAACAGTTTGGGAAACTATGTGGTTATATTGGATAAACAAAACAAAACACAACTCCATGCATCATGTACTCAGAGAATATATGCTCTATTACCAAAATTGCATGATTTTATAAAATGTTATGTATGTTGTCAATAGAGGTGATCCTCCTCTATCATTCATTTATGTAGTCACAAAATTTGTGGCATCAGCAAAATGAGGGAAGTTGTATAATATCCTATTAGAATTAGAAAATATGTTTTAGTCAGCTGTATATTTCCATGAAGTGATAAAGCAAGAACAGAAGTCAGGCCACAAGGAGGATTTCAGAAGAGAATATAGAAGGGAACCAAGTGAATAAATAGGTGGTCTAAAAGGGATAGGAAATAATGAAGTACAGGACTATACCTCCTGATTCAGGAAGGTGGCACAAAGGGCAAATATCCTGGAAAAATGATAATAGCAAAAAAATGGAGATGAAAACTAAGAAGGAAGATAACATAAAACTTGTGAAGGAAGATCCATATGAAAATGGGAGTCAAGCAAAAAGGTAGGAATGCAGTTGTCACCTAGACTGATAAATATGTGATCATGAAGTTGTAAAGCAGGGGTTCTTAACTAGAGGTCTATGAACTTGCTTAATATTTTGATAGCTATTTCAACTTAACCAGCTTCCTTTATTATCCTATATGTTTTATTTTATACACTTAAAAACATAACTCTGAGAAAGGGTCCTTTGGTTTCATCAGACTGCCAAAGGGGCTCATGACACAAAAATGGTTAAGAACCTCTATTCTACCTCCCTATCTCTCTGGATACCCAGGCTTTGTAGGAGGTGGCTTACGTGTACTGGCCCCAGAGGTCTTCTTGGCCTTTCATTCTCTTTGGAGTTATCCTCTCATTTTGATAGTTTCTAAGGACATTTAGCTGCCCTTAGAAATTGGCCAGGATCCTAAGCTTGTTCCAGGATGATATGGTTGGTCCTATGAAAATGAAAGGTTCTCTGTCTCATGTTGATCAATTGATTAGCCCTGTAAAGCAGGGTTTAATTAATAGATTTGGTCTTACTAACATTATTTTGCAAGACCATTTTAAAGGATATGTGGTATTGGAATGCCTTTAGGAATTAAAAAAAAACTTAATAAGTAATAGCATCTTATCATTGAGACATTTTTTCAAGAGTCTGTTATGTTGTTGATTGTGGTCTTGAAGGAACTATGAAAACACACCAATACTTAATGAATCTGTGATCTCATTGATGTGAGTGTTCCCTTACATTGGTATAGATTGCAAATTGACCAAATCTTTTTGTCTTCTTCACTTTTTTTCACTCTCTCTTATAGAGGTCCATAGCAGATCTACCCAGTCTGTAGGAAACCTTCTTTAGGTCTTTTTATGTGAAAAAAAAAATACTTAAAGATGAACTATTTTGGAGATACAGTAATTAGAAAGCTGTAGTAATCTCTGCCATAGCTTACACTTTGTAGCCCCTGGGGGCCTAGTACAGAGCCTTTGGTGAGACCACAAGCATTTAAGTGCTTGGCTTTGTGCTAAGCACTGGGAATACACATACAAGCAGAAAAAAAAGACCTTTCATACCCTCAAGGAGCTTCCATTTTAATGGGGGAAAACAGAAAAGAAGCTAAAAGGGAGGTGGGGAGAACTGAAGGTATCTAGTTTGGCCATAGTAGAAAAAGCCCAGTGGAGAATCTTCAGGGTAGCTCCCGGAAAAATGAAGACTGGAGGGGGGGAGGGGAAAAAGGGCTGAGGTGTCCCGGCAGTTCTAGGAGGAAGCAGTTCATCAGAGGGAGAGGCAATTAGTTCCTCAATAGATATTTGATATTTGATTGCTTAATTAAGCTAACATGGTAGCTTGGGAAATTTTTCTAGGATTACATGACAAGTTCAGCTATTTTTGTCTAATATTCTGGAGTGCTTCTTTAGAACTTAATTTGTCAGTAACTATATGAAGCTTTCTTCATCTTTATGAAAAATCCTGCACATTTAATCCTTGTGCAATTTTAAACTTGATTTTAGATGTGATAAGTGTGATCTGTAATCTTTTTGGTAAAATTTATTTTCTCAGCTTAAATCAGTTTCAGTCCTCAGTCAATAAATAAACATTTGTTGAGCACCTACTGTGTGCCAGGCACTGTGCTAAACCTTGGGGATACAAAGAAAGGCAAGGACAGTCCCTGTGCTCAAGGAGCTCACAGCCTAATAATAGGGGAGACAACATGCAAACAACTATGTATAGAAGATCTATATACAAGATAAATTGGAGCTGATGGAGGGAAAATGCCAGAATTTGGAGGATTGGGAAAGGATCTTGACTTTCTCATCTAAATATCTATTTTTTTTCATTTGTCAGAATCTGATAAGAATATATTTTGACTAATTGCATAATGAAGTTACTCTAAATGTTTTTATGAATCAACTTTTGCCATGTATACATTTCGTTTCTTTGATGAACACTACCAAAGCTTCACAGGATAAAAGTATCCTAGAACTTTTTTTTTAAAGACATAGTAACACTGATATATAACCGAAACTTAATTGATAACAAAGATATTAAGTCTAAGTATTATATACATTTGTACTGTTTCATTACCCTAAAGTACTTTAGCAATAGCGTTGTTTAATTAAGGATACTAATTGCATTGATCGGCTACCCAGACTGGATTGAACAAAATTCTCAGTGATCCTTTGTTTCTTATCTAGATTAGAGCTGTGCTTTATTTGCCATTTATAGTACTATTTGTAATTTTTCTTTAGGATTCCAAGCACTTGAATTATCTGACATCAGAGCAGGCTCTGGCTGACTTTGCAGTTTTAATTGAATACTTGAAAAAAACAATCCCAGGTGCTAAAAATAGTCCTGTCATTGCTATAGGAGGCTCATATGGAGGGATGCTTGCTGCCTGGTTCAGAATGAAATATCCTCATATAGTGATTGGGTGAGTGCAAACACATTGAATAGTAGTACATCTTAAAGATTTTAAATGCAAATCTGCAGGTATATTTTATATTAAAATTTGTTCATTCTAATCTGTATTGTAAATCTCAATTTAGATTCCTCCAACAAATAATTTTTCCTTATTTAATCATCTGCATAATTTCATGTAACATTTTAAAGTTAGAATTCAACTAATTAATCTTTTTCTCTTTTTCCCTATTCCTTTTTTCCACTTTTTCTGTTTTTCCTTTAATTATTCAGAGCTCTTGCAGCCTCTGCTCCTATCTGGCAATTTACAGATTTGGTTTCTTGTGGAAAATTTTTTGAAATTGTAACCAATGATTTCAAGAAAAGTGGCTCTAAGTGTTCAGAAACCATCCAGAGTTCCTGGAAAGCAATTGATAGGCTGACATCCACAGGTAAGTAGATGAAATTGATTTCCAAGTCAAATAGAAGATTTTTTAAAAGTTTAAAACCCACATCAGTTTTCACTGATTTTTATTAAGAACCAGAGGTTTAATCTGAAAAAATATTTTGAATTATAGAATGATGTTGTACATCTTTGTTTTTTCCTGGATTTTTATGGTAATTATTTATTTATTTTTTGTTTTCCACATTTGCTTCCACATGATTTTGAGTTCCAAATTTTCACCCCATCTCGCCCCTCCCCCCACCCCAAGATGGCATGCATTCTGAATACCCCTTCCCCTAGTCTGCCTTCCCTTCTATCTCTCCCTCCTTCTCTTATTCCCTTCCCCTTCAATTTTCCTGTAGGGCAGGATGGATTTCTGTACCCCGTTTCCTGTATTTCTTATTTCCCAGTTGTATGTGAAAACATTTTTTTTAAACATGTGTTTTTAAAACTTTGGGTTCTAAATTTTCTCCCTTCCTCCCTCCCCACCTACCCTCATTGATAAGGCAAGCAATTAAATATAGGTTATATATGTGCAGTTATGCAAAACACTTCCATAGTAGACATGCTGTGAAAAACTAACTCTATTTTTCTTAATCCTATCCCACCCTCCATTTATTCTATTCTCTTTTGACCCTGACCCTCCTCAGAAGTGCTTGCTTCTGATTACCCCCTTTCCCAATCTGCCCTTCTTTCTATCATCCCCCTACTCCCTTGTCCCCTTCCCCCCCCCCCCATTTTCCTGTAGGGTAAGACAGATTTCCACACCCAATTGAGTGTGTATGTTATTCCCTTCTTAAGTCAAATTCTATGAGAATAAGATTCACTCTTTCCCTCTCATCTTCCCCCATTTCCCCTCCACTGTAAGAGCCTTTTCTTTTGTTTTTTTTTTGTGAGATAATTTACCCTGTTCTACCTCTCCCTTTCTCCTTCTCCTAGTATAATCCTCTCTCACTCCTTAATTTTATTCTCCAGATATGACCCCTTCATTTTCAACTCACCCTGTGCCCTCTATCTATCTATCTATCTATCTATCTATCTATCTATCTATCTATCTATCTATCTATCTATCTATCTACCTATCTATCTCTATCTATATCTATATCTATATATACATACATATAATTTTTTCCCCTCCAACTACCCTAATACTGACAAAGGTCTCATGAGTTACAAGTATCATCTTTCCATGCAGGAATGTAAACAGTTCAACCTTAATAAGTCTCTTATGATTTCTCTTTCCTGTTTACCTCTTCATGTTCCACTTGAGTCTTATATTTGAAAATCAAATTTTCTATTGAGCTCTGGTCTTTTCATCAAGAATGCTTGAAAGTCCTCTGTTTCACTGAATGACTATTTTTTCCCCTGCAGGATTTTACTCAGTTTTGCTGGGTAGGTGATTCTTGGTTGTAATCCTATCTCCTTTGCTCTGCAGAATATTATATTCCATGCCCTGTGGTCCCTTAATGTAGAAGCAACTAAATCTTGTGTTATCCTGATTGTGTTTCCACAATACTTGAATTGTTTCTTTCTGGCTGCTTGTAATATTTTCTCCTTGACCTGGGAACTCTGGAATTTGGCTACAATATTCCTAGGAGTTTTCCTTTGGGGATGTCTTTCAGGAGGAGATTGGTGGATTCTTTCAATTTCTATTTTGCTTTCCGGTTCTAAAATATCAGGGCAGTTTTCCTGGATAATTTCTTGAAAGATGATGTGATGTCTAGGCTCTTTTTTTGATCATGGCTTTCAGATAGTCCAATAATTTTTAAATTCTCTCTCCTGGATCTATTTTCCAGGTCAGTTGCTTTTCCAATGAGATATTTCACATTGTTTTCTAATTTTTCATTCTTTTGGATTTGTTTTACAGTGTCTTGATTTCTCATAAAGTCACTAGCTTCCAATTGCTCTATTCTAATTTTTAAGGAAGTATTTTCTTCAGTAATCTTTTGGACTTCCTTTTCCATTTGGCCAATTTTGCTTTTTAGGGCATTCTTCTCATTGGCTTTTTTGGACCTCTTTTGCCAATTGGGTTAGGCTATTTTTTAAGGTGTTATTTTCTTCAGTATTTTTTTGGGTCTCCTTTAGCAAGCTGTTGACTTGTTTTTCATGATTTTCTTGCAAAACTCTCAGTTTTTCCTCTACTTCTCTTACTTGCTTCTCAAAATCCCCTTTGAGCTCTTCCAAGGCCTGGGACTGATTCATATTCTTCTTGGAGGCTTTGGATTTAGGAGCTTTGGCTTCATTGTCTTCTTCTGGTTGTATGTTTTGATCTTCTTTGTCACCAAAGTAAGATAATATAGTCTGATTCTTTTTGCACTGCTTACTCATGATCCTAGCCAATTACTTGAGTTTTAAACTCTTTGTTAAGGTAAAAGTCTGTTTCCAATGTGGAGAATGTACTGTCCCAAGCTTCGGGGGTTTGTACATCTGTTTTCAGAGATACTTTCAGGGACCTGAAAATTTTCAGTTCTTCCAAGGTGGTATGATAAGGGGCGAGGTGTTTTCTCTCCACTGCCACCACAAGCTCCACCACACCAGCGTTCCTCCTCGCCCTAGGACTGCCCCTCAGAACTGTGACCCAGATCCAAGCACTGGTAAAGCAAGAGATTCCTGCCTTAGCACTGGCAAAGAGATCCCTGAAATCCCCCTCTGATCAGCCACTTGATTCCCCCTCAGTCTGTGGGCCAGAAGCTCAGGAAACAGCTGCGGCCCCAGGGGCGGCTGAGACCTACCTTCTTCTCTCACTGCAGTCACAGACTTTTCCCACTGATCTTCTAAGTTGTCTTTGGTGTTCATGGGTTGAGAAGTCTGGAAACCACCACAGCTGCCTGCGATTCAGTCGTCTGAGGCCTGCTCCAGGGTTGCTGCGGCCTGTGTGCCCATGCCGAGCTGCACTCCTCTCCCCGCCCAGTGCGATATACCTTTCTGATCAACCATCCAGGCTGTCTTTGGCTGGAAATTTGTTTCACTCTGTCTTTTTGAGGGTTCTGCTGCTTTAGAATTTGTTTAGAGCCATTTTTTATAGGTATTTGGAAGAGTTTGGGGGGAGAGCTCAAACAAGTCACTGCTTTCCCTCTGCCATCTTTGCTCCGCCCTTTTCCTGGATTTTTAATGGACACTTTTCTAGTTCCCTGAAATCCCTTGCTTACATTAAGCATGGCTATCTGATTGACAGGTATGGCAAAGAGTCTCATATGAAGCAGATTCAATTTCAATTCAACAGATTTTATTAATCTCTTTCTATGTTCAAGATATTGTGGTTTAACAATGAACCAGTTCCTGCTGTCAAGGAGATTTTTAATTTAGTAGGGGAGCTAAGTCATACTTTTTCTCAAAACTTCAGATGTGTGATTTCAACAATTTGAATATTCTCATCACCAATGCAGATCAAAATCTGCTTTCCTCCTCTACCTCCTCTCCTTTCCCTAATCTCCCATCCCCTTACTCACCTTAGTAGATGGCCTATATAAGTTGCTGTGGCTCCAAAAAATGCATCTAATGGCTTACTTTCTGGTGATGATGTTTTCTTTTTTTTTTCTTTTAGTTTTTTTTTAAACTTTTAGGCAATTGGGGTTAAGTGACTTGCCCAGGGTCACACAGCTGGTAAGTGTCAAGTGTTTGGTCTGAGGCCGGATTTGAACTCAGGTCCTCCTAAATTCAGGGCTGGTGCTCTATCCACTGTGTCACCTTGTTGCCCCTTGGTGATGATATTTTCAAAACAGTACTAAGCTGGACCTTGGAAACAGACATGTAGTTATTATTGCACTTGTGTTTGAAACCTTTCCAGACTGACCTACTGAGGTTATGCCCTGCTGGCATAGTCTTCAAGAACCCAGGGTCACCTCTGTTCCACAGTGAGGTATTGGAGTAAGATGTATGCAAGACACATACAGAGGAAGGAAGTTATGGACAGTGGGAGGGGGAGGAAGAGGAGAGAGAATCGGAAAAAACTCTAAGGAACAAGTGACATTTGAATTGGACCATGGATGATGGGTAGGATTTTTAAAATTGGGGATGGGTGAAGGCAGTCCAGGTAAAGTAATGTGAAAAAAGACATTTAGGTAGGAGACCATCGGGCATATTTGTGAAACAATAGGCTGTTCAACATAGCCAAAGCATAGGATGTGTGAAGGTAGATAGTGGGCAATGTAACTTCCAAGTTGGGACCAGAGTATGTAGGACCTAGAATATCATACAAACCTAGAATATCATGTACTTCATTCTGTAGACAGTAGGGAGTCTGCATCATGAGACTGGCATGTTAATAGGTTTTTCCTTAAATTACTTTGGCAGCATTGCATAGAATGTATTGGAACAAGGACTAACTGGAGTTAAAAATATTGATTAGAAGGTTAATGCTTTAGTATAAGTGAGAGCTAATGAGGGCCTGAATTAAGAGTGTAGCAGTGGGAGTGAAAGGAACAAGATAGATGCAAGAAAGATTTGGAAATTAAATTAATAATACTTAATGACTAATTGAATGTGTTGTAGGGGCAAGGGAGAGGCAAGAGAAGAAGATAACTGATCTTTTGTGCTTAGGTGACTAGGAGAATGATGACGCCAATCACAAAGATAAGAAAGGTAGAAAGAAGAGCAAGTTTAATGAGGAGGAGGATTTTTGATTTTTTTTTTGGCCATGTTGAATTTGAGGTGCTTGCAATAGAGAAGTCAAATGGGCAGTTGTAAATATGGATCTGGAGCTGATGTTGGTACTGGATGTAAGATATGAGAATCATTTAATAGAGATGATAGTGGAGGCTCTGGCAGTTGATGAGGTTGCCTAGGGCAAGAATATAAAGATAGGTGAGTGAAGAGGGCCAACAATTGAAGCTTTGTAAGGGGAGAAAGAGGAAAACAAGTTAATGAAAGGAGGCAGCAGGAAAAGTTAGAGAGGTAGGAGGAAAAACAAAACATTGTCACAGAAGCTAAGGGAGGAGTATGTTTCAAGGAAGTGGTGATCAGGGGAAAATGCTGGAGAAAAGTCAAGGATGAGAACTACAAAAAAAA